GCGCACCCAAGGGACAAGGCAGCGATGGCCGCCCATACCCTTGGGCTGCCAACAGCAGGACCGTGCCCACTCCTCCGGCCCCACCCGACAGGACCAGCGGCTACGCGCAGGCCTCTTCCTTCCGCACACGCAGTGAAGCTGACCAGCGGCACCCGCGGAGCAAGCCCAGAGCGGGCGCAGCTGCCCCGCCGGCGCATGCCGACTACAGGGAGACCACCCGGTCGGGAGCAACCAGCTCTGGAGCCCCATGGCACCCAAGGCCGCCCTGGGAAGGACGGGGCCGCCAGGAGAGCTCATGGAGAGGCGCTGACTGGGGTACCAGGGAGAAAAGGACCGCCCCGAAAGGTGACGCGCAATACGCCGACAAGCGACAGCGAGGAAGGGAGCTCGAACGCTGGTAACGCGGCGACAGGTCAGACAAGAGTTCCCTACCCGCAGCAGGACTGACACAGCCCAGAGCCCCCAAGGCCCACGGCCTAGGACTGCATGGACAAGGGGCGCCCCCTTCATGAAGGCTGGCCGCGCCCGTGCACTGCGGATGCCCCCCTAGAGGTGTGGCGCGTCCTCCTCTTTGGGCGCCCCCACCGCTGTCAAACGTCCTGCGGCTATCGGCTGCCCTCCTCCTCTCCCCCCTGATGCTTACATGTCCTGCGGCTATCGGCCGCCCCCCCCCCTTTTCCTCGTCGCCACAGCTACACAAGTCCGCGGCTATCGGCTGCTACCTCCCTTTTTCTTCGTCGCCAGAGCACAGTACCTGAGAGGCGCGGCTATCGTGGGTCCCGCCTCACGCAGGCAGCGTCAGTCGGGGCGGGCCCCAGTGCCGAAGGTTTCCCACTGGGCGGCCACGTTCCTGACGGCCCGCCCAGCGAGGGGGTTCGTTTCACCGCAGTGGCAGGCCGCGGCCTCGGTTTTCGCGTTACCTCCTGGGAGCGAGGTACACCCCCCACGCTGCGCTAGACACCCGCGGCCCCCGTGGGCTCGTAGCCCGTGAGGTCGGCTGAAATAACTCCGCCCACGGTTTTGGTCGGGATACCGGCCCGAGGAGGACCTGGTCGTCTCGCTGAAGGCGTTTCCCCATCTGTCCTGCTTCCACCTAGGTTCTTTGCCCGCGCCGAGTGCGGGCCGTGGTGCAGAGGACGCTGGTCTGGCCCCCCCTCGCGCTCCACCACTTGTAGTCCAGCTGTGTGCGAGTGGCTTCCCCCCCTCGGCGCCGTTGGGGGCGATCATCTCTGAGTTAGACTCCCACAGCCTCGTGGGTTGTAGCCCGTGCGGTCGGCTAAGATAACCCCACCCACGGTTTTGGCCGCGTTGACGGCCCGCGGAGGTCCGGGTCGACTGGCCGAAGGCGTCGCCCCATCGGCCCCTGCATACAGTGGATGGCTCTGGCCACGGATTGTGCCACCTCCCGGGTTCGACCCCGCCCAGGCCTTTGCCCGCGTGAGTCCGGGCCGTGGTGCTGAGGCAACTGGCTGAAGGCCCCTCATCGCTCCACCGTTTGAAGTCTTGGTGTGCACCAGTGGCCCCCCCCCCATCGTCGATGTCGGGAGTGATCGTGTCTCTCGGTGGTGGATATGCACTGGGTGCTACGTGAGTGAGTCCGCCGCTCTAGGCCTTCTGCGCTCCTTGGCTCCTTGGGTACAGGCTCTGCGCTCGTTTTCGCCGGTTTGCGAGTGCGTTGCCTTCTGGTGCCCTGGCTCACTGGCACCTGGCCAGCGGTCCTTGCTCGCGCTCGTCTCAGGCTGCGGTTCGCCTTGCTTCGCGCGCGCCACCTGGCGCTCCGCTCTCTCTCTTTCAGCCACCGGTCAGGTTCCCCACCTGCGGGTCTGGCTTGTGTTCGCTGGTTGTCCACCTGTGGCAGCTTCTCTTCCGCTGGCGTCCGTTCAGTGTTTTTGCTGGTTAATATTCTGGCATCGTCTTGTGCACTCGCTTCAGCGGCCCACGTGCCTCTGCAGCCAATTTTCTCGCTCTGTGCCCCAGAACGTTAGCACCGCTCGCTGGATCTGTCCTTCGAGCCGCCGAACAAAAAAGTATCCCCACCAGTATATGAAGGACACGTCGGCACCTATGCACGTCATGTCATCTGTGTGGGTTATGCCTCACGGCATGATCCGAATTTCTCTGCATTTTGTCAGACTGCACGTGCTCGAGCTTCCCAGGGTGCCCCCAGCCGTCAGCTTCCCGCACAGCCCCTCGGCTGCTTGGTGAGTGGGCCTGCTGGCCTGCGGCGCGTCTTGTAGCTAATTAGCCTTGTTCGCAGCCCCGGACATTTGCTTTCGCCGCGTGCGCTCTTCGCTCGCGGCCGTGACCAAAAAGTATCCCCACCAATTGCCCCGGACCCCCCTCTCGGCGACAGCTTCACGCGTCTGCCCGCGACCCAAAAAAAAATATCCCCACCAGCCCATCCAGAAAGGATCGCCAACGGAATCGACTTAGTGAGGGACGTGTAGAAGCACGCAGTGGATCAGCCTCTGTGGAGGCGTGTCGGGAGCGCAGAAAACGGAGGATGAGGAGGCGGCCTTTGCGGATCATGTGTTGTTGTGAGAGGTTTTTTGGGGGGACTCTTGGAGCCATCGTGTGGCCTCCCGGGGTCCCTGCGGGGCTTCTCGGGGCCCTCCTGGGCCCCCCTGGGACTCTCCAGATGGGGCCCTCTTCGGACGGTCTTGGGCCGCACAGCCAACACACGAGAAACGTATTTTTTCTGGCCCCCCCCACCCTTCGGATGCCAAGATTTGCCCAGAAACCTGAGGGAAATCAATCTTACAGTCAACCCGCATAGTAAGGGTGGGCAGTTATCCAAAGGGTACCCCTGCATCCTAAGGATGCAAGGGTACCCTTGGATGATGAAAATGACCAAGGATGGACCGATGAGGCAAGTTGCCTCCTCGGTCCATCCTTGGTCACTTTCGTTGGCCGCGCCCCGCTCGAAAAGCTTCGAAATGGGCGTCCAAGGCCCTCGCATCCTTATCCCGCATCCTTACTGTACGGGTTCACAGTAGTTGCTCTTTCTCGTTGGCAATGCCGGACGCTCTAGCATCTGACCCACCCCTCGGGACTCCGCCCCCCCCGTCCAGACTCGGGAGAGGGGGTTAGGGGAAGGGGTCCAGCTACTTTCCCCGCCCGCAAGTCGTCTTGCTCACTCCCACCCGCCCTCCAACGCATAAGTAACTCCCGAGTCTCGGCATACGGGTGATGACAAAGATCACGACGGAATGTTTTCCGCTGCTTTCGGCCTCTGGGGGCCCTTAGCGGGCCTTGGGACTGTCAAACAACGACTCAGGATGAAAAACCGGTCCCAGGGAATGGGTCGAGACCTTTGGAGGTCGACGTTACGAAACAAATCATGACATCGTGGGTCGGAGTTCCGTGGCCTAGAAAACGCTTATCGGGTCTCCGCAAACGGGGGTTCGGTTGAGGGGAGAAATAAAGCAACACTTCCCCCCTCCCCCGCAGTTCAAAGTTGCCACGTTCCTTAAAAGACCACTCGGAGGCCCAACATCGGAAGATCCGAAACCAACATTGCATTTGGGGGGAGGGAGGGAGTTCAAACCATATGTTCTGCATTAGTGTTGCTTGATTGTTTCCGACACCTGTCGAAACCACTACGGCACCATGGGCACCAATCATTGGGCACCACCCAAAGTGCACCATAGGAACAGCGATAATATTGCAACGATTCAGGCATAGGGCACCAGGGCAAGGACGAGAAACTCGCAACAAGTGGGCCATCATCAGGTACCAGCCATTGCGCCTCACCCATAAGGCCAAAGGGCGGCAAGGAGAACATCGCAACCACTAAGGCACCCTAGGAGGCTAGCCATGTAACATCGCCCATGGCGCACCAAGGCAACAATGGGAAGTCCTCTGCAGTACACTCATCACAAAGCAGCAATCGCCGTAAAGCACCATCCACGAGGCACCATGCATGAACGACACTCTCACATAGCAGCGCATCAGGCAGCACCACTCTTAGCGCACCATGGTAAGAGCGAGAACATCGCAACCGGGCATCACAGGGCCAACGTGCGCATCGCGCACGACCCACAGAGCATCAGGGCAATATCGAACACATCGCAACTAGTAAGGCATCTGAGAGCACAGCCTACAGCGCACCATCCGTAGGGTACCAGGGCAATAACATATGCATCACAATCTTCAAGACACCACTGAACAATAGTCTCAAGGCACCAGCCGTTATAGGTCACCAGCCACAGGGCACTGCCCATCGAGAACCAGGGAAATAATGAGACAATCGCAAGCCCGCCATAGGCCACTACCCATAGGGCACCGGGGCAAGAAGCAGACAATCGGAACCATGAAGGCATCCTTGAGGACAAGCCACAACTCACCACCCATGGGGTGCCAGGGCCAGAACTAGAAAACCACAACAAGTATGTCCGACTCCCTGTCGTGCTAGCGAGAACCGCTCGCCTAGTGCAAGCACTGAGTGTGGAGCAGGCGGGGTGAGAAACATCGACGTCGACGATATCGTCGGCGACGTCGTCGTCAACCCTTGCCGTGAACGGACCTTCCCTTCCGCTCCCTCAGCCGAGGCCCTCCGACTCCCTAGCGAGAACAGCTTGCCGTGTGGGTGGAAGGAACGTCGACGCCGACGACTTCGTCTGCGACGTCGTCGTCAACCCTTGCCGCGAACGCGCCTTCCGGAGCCGCCCACGATCCCATCCGCTGCGGTTCCGATTCGAGTCGATTCACTTCGATCCACCGGCATCGGCCGGGGCTGGCCAAGAGCCGGGCGCGGCGATCCGATCTCGACTCGGTTCGAAACGATTCGCTGGTGATCCGATCCGCTTCCGATCCGGCCCGATTTCGCGATTCGATCCAGCTCGGGCCTGCAGCCGAGGCCCCTCCTCCGCCTCCTCCTCCTCCTCCTCCTCCGCCTCCTCCTCCTCCTCCGCCTCCGCCGCCGAGGCCCCTCCTCCTCCTCCTCCTCCTCCTCCTCCTCCTCCTCCGCCTCCTCCTCCGCCTCCGCCGCCGCAGCCGAGGCCCTCCGACTCCGTGCAGACCCCCGCGGAGCTCCTGGGCGGCGAGCGGTCCGAGCCCGGAGGCACAGGCGCGCGGGGCGCACCAACGCGCGCGAAGGGTTCGGTTTCGGCGCCTCCCCGCTGGTGATGGTGGTGGTGGTGATGATGATGATGATGATGATGATGATGATGATGATGATGATGATGGTGATGGTGATGATGATGATGATGGTGATGGTGACGATGATGATGATGATGATGATGATGATGATGATCCTGATCATGACGATGATGATGATGGTGATAGTGGTGGTGATGATGATGATGATGATGGTGATGGTGATGATGATGATGATGATGGTGATGGTGACGATGATGATGATGATGATGATGATGATGATGATGATGATGATGACGATGATGATGGTGGTGGTGGTGATGATGACGATGCTGATAATGGTGGTGATGATGATGGTGGTGGTGGTGATGATGATGGTGGTGGTGATGATGATGATGGTGGTGGTGATGATAATGAGAAAGAGGAGGGGGAGCAGGAGCAGGAGCAGGAGGAGGAGGAGGAGGACGAGGAGGAGGAGGGGGAGGAGTGAGGAGGAGGAGAAGGAGGGAGGAGTGAGGAGGGGGGACGAGCTGGTCGATGGCGAAGGATGAGAAGGGGAGGGTGAGGAAGAGGGATGAGGACGAAGGACGACGAGTGGGTGAGGGAGGAAGGGAGGGAGGGGGGAGGAGGGAGGAGGGGGATGGAGGAAGAGGAGGAGGAGGAGGAGGAGGCCAGTGTGAAGCCAAGATTCATCAAAGCTGTGGGATTACCCCCTTCCACCAAGTTCCCTCTTCATACTGTCATGGTTTTATGTTCAGCGTTTAGTTGGGAATACGCCTGTACACGCTAAGTGATCCGCACTTAGCGTGTATCCTGTGTGGTTTGTACTTAGCATGTATATCCAAGGACTGTCTCACCCGATCCTGCTTAGCGTGGACGCCCCTGCGCTGCTTATCGTGTCAACGGCTTCGTTTTCGCAGGGCCCGGAATCAGATACACGCTAAGAATAGGACCATGACCGTAAGCCTTTACAAGGGTTCATGTCCGTTGGGGGAAGTGCCCCGTTGGGGGACAAACGTGTGAAAATCCTGAAGCGTGCCAAAACATAGTTCTCAGGACTTCAACGCCTCGAGTCAACCTGACTGTTGCGCCTTGACGGTCCTCAGTTGTGCCAGAACACCATTCCTGGGACTTCAACTCCGCGAATCAACATAATTTCTGCGCCCTGACAATCCTGAATCGTTCCGTAACGCCGTTTCTGGTGCGTGAACCAGGAGAGCCAGTGAAGCATTGGCAAGTGTTTGAAACGAATGCGCGCGGCGCTCAGGCGAGAGCGACATGTTGAAAAGGAACCGCCCTCAATCCGCGAAGCTCTTACAGTTGTTTAAGACGAATGCGCGCGGCGCTCAGGCGAGAGCCACATTTTGAAAACGATCCTCAATCCTTGAAGCTCTCAATGTTCTGCGATGATCATGCGCGGCGCAGAGGCGAGAGCTACATTTTGGAAGAGACCCGCCCTCCATCTGTGAACCTGTTGTCAGTTCTTAAGCTTCGAGCTCATAAGTGATAAGGAAGTCTCAGGCGAAACGCCCAGCCTGACCGTCCGACTGGCCTCTGGGTGCGACAGGGAGGCGTCATGCATAAGGAAAAGGAATGGAGGAGGAGTAGGAGGAGAAGGTGGAGGGCCTCACGCCGCGATTGGATCGCCCCGATGGCCAGGCAGAGGAGGGGGGCGGGTGGCCTTCGTCCTCTCCCGGTGCCCTTCAGAACTTCAGAGACGCCCCTCCAGGCACCGCCGCGGCTCGCCAGGACGGGTGCAGCAGCGCCTCTGGGGGCGCGGGCCGGACCAGGACGGGCGCCCCCGGCAGCCACGCCCGCGGGGCTTGGAGGATCGTCGTCGCGATTATCATCATCATGATCACCATCAGCATCATCATCAGTGGCAGCAGCAGCGTCGTCGTCGTCGTCGTCATCATCATCATCACCATCACCATCACCGTCACCGTCACAATCACCATTACCACCACCATCATCACCACCCTTATCATCATTGTCATCATCACCACCATCATAACCCGAATTCCCTCCACACCCAAGCTATCCAAAATGCCGCCAAGAGACAGTTAATTATCTGACCGTCGTCGTCACCCTGATTTCTTTGGTTTTTTCTCCCCCATCTTCTCCGTCGTCTCCCCTTCCTCCCCGTTCCCTTTCCCCCATGCTCCCAAACCCGCTGGTGCTCGAAGGGGTGCATTGAGACAGCCAGCAGACAACACGCTCCGCCACGCACGCGCCGTGGCACCCGCAGCGTTGGGCGCGGAAGCGCGGCTCTCGCGCATCGTCCCATCATCATCATCATCATCATCATCATCATCATCATCATCATCATCGTCGTCGTTGTCGTCGTCGTCGTCGTCACCACCACCATCATTATCACCACCATCATAATCATCACCATCATCACCACCATTTTCGTTATTATCGTCATCATCATCATCACCATCATCGTCACACACATCATCATCGCCATCACCATCACCATCATCATTATCTCCAGTTCCATCGCCATCATCGTGATAATCATTTGCATCATCCGTATCATGTCACCATCACACCATTCTCAGCACCACCATCATCATCATCCTTCGCATCAGTGCCCATGCCACCATCATCAAAACATCATCATTATCACCAACACCATGTCGCCATCATCACACCACCATCATCCCACCGCCACCATCATTGTCATCATCGTTTTCATCAACATCATGAGCATGATCATCATAATCATATCATCATCTTCATCGTCACCACTATCATCATGAACATCATCATTGTTATCAAACTCATCATTATTATCGCCCGCATCATTACCATTAGTACCAACATCATAATGTCATCATCATCCACGCTTTCTTCATCGTCATCACCATCATAATCTTCATCGTCATATTCATCATCATCGCCATCATCACCAGCATGTCGTCATCATCGCACCATCATCACCAAACCATCACCATCACCATCGTAATCCTGAACAGCATCGTCATTTTCATCATCATCATCATCACTATTGGTTATCATCACCATCATCACCATCACCATCGTTATCATCAACGTCGTGAATCATATCAGCATCGTAGCGCCATCATCTTCATCCTCATCGTCACAGCCGTCACCATTACCGTTTCGTCATTATCACCATCCGTATCATCACTATTCTCATCAGTATCATTACCGCCATGATCAACACGGTTATAATCCTCATCAGCATGTAGCCGTCACCATCATCATGCCGTCACCACTCCACCATCGTCATCATACCATCAGCATCATTGTCATCATTGTCACCAACAACATTACTTCCATGATCGCTATCATCATCTTCATCGCCATCACCATCCTCACCACCCCGTCGTCGTCATCATCACCGTCACCATCGTTAGCATCAGCATTACCATCATCATGCTCGTCGTCACTAAACCACAAACAGCATCACCAGGTCGTCATCGTCATCATCACCATTACATCATCATCATCATCATCATCATCATCATCATCATCATCATCATTACCATCACCATTATCATCCATATCACAACCATCATAATCATCATCGTCATCATCAGCATCATGTCGTCATCATCACCGTTCACATCGCACAATCATCCTTCTCATCGCTATCATGAACACCATCATCAGCGCCATTACGTCGTCAGCATCACTATCATCATTGTCATCTTCATCATCACTACTAGCATCATCATATCATCACCTTCTTCGTCATCACCATGATCAGCATCATCACCGGGCGCGGGCGCTTGCGAGCGCCCTGGCGGACGCCTCACAGCGCATCCTGCGCATGGGAGCGCTTGCGCGCTTAATTTCTCAAGAACAGAGATATCTTGATGTCCCTCAAGACATGACGTCCCTTCCGTTTTTTTTTTTGTTGTAGTACATTGTGTTCCATTCGGTTTATCCAACTGTTTGCAAGATGCAGCCCGCCAAAATACTGCCGTACTGCTTACAAGACGATTCGCCGCCAATGTTGATGGGGAGTTCCAGCTGATTTGCATTTGTGGTTTTGCCTCGCCGCCGTTGTTTTCCTTTCCGATACGTCAGTTACTGTTTTAGGTTTTTGGTTTGCCGCCGCCCGCTTATTTTCGCTTCCGGTGTGATATCGTCATCGTCGTTATCGTCGTCGTCATTGTCGTTATCATCATTGTCTACGTCATGGCGCCAGGCCGTGCCGAACAAGAGGGAGAGGAGCCGGGCAGCCCGAGTGTGCTGCCAGGCCGTTCCAAAGCGCTGTTCCTCGGGGCATCCCCGGACGCTTGGCCGGCCGCGCCTCAGCGGCATGCCGGCCCTCCGACGTTGCCGACTCATTTTGTGCCCGCTGAGGCATACAGATCGCCCAGGCAAGGTCTGGGGTAGGCCTGGGGAAGGGCCTACCCCTAAGCTTAATTACCCTAGGCATACCCTAGGGTGGCCTACCCTAGACCTATTCTAGGGCCTACCTCTAGGCCCATTCTAGGTCTACCTCTAGGTTCTGCACCCCCAGGCCTATCCTAGGCATTCCTTGGGGCCTGCCCCTGGCCCTACTCCCATAGGCTTACCCCTAGGGCTTACCCCAAGGCCTATTCCGAGGTCGACTCTTCAGGCCCAGCCCTGGTTTACTCTAAGGGCCCGCGCTAGGCCTACCCCGGCGTCTACCCCAGGGCAACCTCTACCTAGGCGTTGTCTTTGGCCCGAGGGCTACCCTAGGCCCCCGACCCCTAGCCCGACCCTGGGCCCTTCTCCTGCGGCGAGGCCTTGCGATCCCACTCTCCGACCCGACCCGCTCGTCAGTGTTCTTCCGATCCGGCGTCGCCGTCCTCCGTCTACCGATCGGAATCGGTTGGACAACGAAAAGAAGGAAGAGAGAGGCAGGAAGGAGGGAGGGAGGACGGCAGGGAGGAGGGGATGGGGGGGCGTCGGGACGAGGGCGGGGATGGGGGGGTTTACCAGAGGGGGTTGTAGAGAGAAGGGGTTTCGAGCGGGGGGACCTGAAGAGGGGGGGTCTGCAGACGGGGGGTCTAGAGAGGGGGGGGGGTAGCGATGGGGGGTCTGGAGGGGGGGCGGTAGACAGAGGGGGGTCTAGAGAGGGGGGGTCTGCAAACGGGGGTCTACAGAGCGGAGGTCAACAGAGGGGGGTCTACAGAAGGGGGTCTAAAGAATGTAGGTTTCGAGGGCGGGGGGGTTTATAGAGTGGAGGTCTAGCGAGGGGGCGGTCCGGAGAGGGGGGATCTAGAGAGGGGGGATCCAGAGAGGGGGGGGGGACAGGGGGGGTCTGGAGAGGGGGAGTCTGCAGAGGGGGTGGTCTACAGAGGGGCAGGGCCTACAGAGGGTGGGTATACAGAGGGGGAGTCTACACAGGGGCGGTTTACAATGGGGGGGTTTACAGAGGGGGGTCTACAGAGGGAGGGTTCTACAGGGGGGGCGGTCTACAGAGGGGAGGTTCTACAGGGGGGGGTGTGGAGAGGGGGTGTTTACACAGGAGGGTTACAAAAGGGGGGGTCTAGGGAGGGGGAGTCTACAGAGGGGGTGTCTACAGAGGCGGGATCTACAGAGGGGGGGTCTAGAGAGGGCGGGTTCTAGAGAGGGGGTGTTTACAGAGGCTTACAGAGGGGGGGGTTACAAGGGGGGAGCCTAGAGAGGGGGGTTCTACAGAGAGGGGATCTAAAGAGACGGGTGGTTTTGATGGGGGGGCGCACAGAGGGGGTCTTCAGAGGGGGGGCTTGTAGAAGAGGTGCTTACGGAAAGGGGGTTCTACAGAGGGGGGGGTCTACAGCGAGGGGGTCTAGAGAGGGGAGGTCTAGAGATGTGGGTGTCTGGAGAGGGGAGATCTAGGGGGGGTATCCACTTCGACTGTCTTGAAGCTGTCCTCTCCACTGCTCGTGCAAACATCCCACCCTCCCACCCGCAACTTGGTCGCGAACTTGAAGTTGTCTTCTCCATTGCTCGAGCAAACATCCCACCCTCCCACCCGCAACTTGGTCAGCAAAACTCACCAGACCGTGGCTGCAAGTACCCAGCGAAGCTTCCTAGCGAGTACCTGACGCCGACGTCGTCGTCGTCGTCGTCGTCGTCGTCGTCGACGCCGTCGCCGAAGCCGTCGTCGTCGTCGTCGTCGTCGTCGTCGTCGTCGTCGTCGTCGTCGTCGTCGTCGTCGTCTTCCCCGCCGTCGTCGTCGTCTGTCGTGGTCGTCGTCGTCGTCTGTCGTGGTCGTCGTCGTCTTGCGCACATCGCTCGGTATTCTGAAGGTTCGGACAGCGCGAGCGGGCAAAATTTTGAAAATCCGTGCAGGTTTTTTTCGAGGACCTACGGTGCGATTCGTGTGTTTTTATGATACGCAGTGCTGAAATTCTCAAGAAATCCAATGGTTTTTGAAGATTTCGGCGCGCGCGCGCGCGAAGAAAAAACGAATGTGTCCCGCATGGCATTATTTGACAAGGATTATGCCCTTGGCAGGCGCGCAGCCGTTGTTGAAGAAGTTCGAAGCGCAGGAAAAAGTTGCTCGCAAGAGCCCTTTTGACAGAACTGTTGAAAAAGTAGTGGGTTTCCCAGGAATCCGCAAGAGCGCGCGGGGTGAATGTTTGAAACTTTTTTTTTTGAAAAAAACATTGGGTTTTTGATGTTTTTTATGTTAAAATCGCTACGAACACTAAGGTTTTGGAAGGATTTCGTCTTGCGCGCGCGAATGTGTCCCGCATGGTATTATTTGACAGGGATTCGCGAAAAAGTGTTATGTTAGAAAGAAAAATGTCCCCGCATAGTGTTATTTGACAGGGAACCGCAGGGGGGCGATACC